TTTCGATGGCTCGCCGTGTGGCCNCATACCCTTTTCATCAAAGAGGCGACGGGTTCTTCTGAGATATTGGATGAAGCTATTTTTCTTTTGCAACGGACATTCCATCGTTTATGGTTTCATTTACGGTGGGAAAATGAACAAAAAGAGATTTGGTGGCGTCTTGCGGTTGATGGGGTGCCTATGTTAGGAAATTCCCATCTTAGGATGTCGCGCCCAACGATATGTGGTTGTGGAGGTTATCCAATAGGTTCAGTGGGAGGTGTATCCCCTCGCTATCATCATTTCTGGGCCTGTCCGGTGGCACAGGCAATAGCAGACCAACTTACTCTTTCAATAGGATTGCCAGTCTCAAGGGAGCAACTTTGGCTTATCCAAGCCCCACAATCAGTGCAACAATGTGTTTGGGATGTTGTGGCTCTTGCTGCGGTGTCAGCCATGGAGCATGGGAGACGTTATATGGCTGCAAACATGAAAACCAACCCGGCACTGTTACCTGGTCCTTCCCTTACGGAAGAAGCAATTTGTCGAGTTATTGTTGATTTTTGGGGCCGCATTCAGGGTTTCGCAGCTTTAGGAATTCCACGAAAAGGTTGGGAATCCGTTGGCGCACATCACCCCTTTTTGAGGATTATATCTGGCAAATTGATTTGTTCGCGAGAGCGGTTACCGATGAGAGGTTAATTATCTGAGATGATAATCTTTTGGTATATTAGTCTCTACTGCAGTGCACGGCCAGCTGGCCCGATGGCTCTACTCTTCGGGAGTCTGGAGCCCACTGTAACAACCACACCACGTGTTGCTTATTGGTTTCTGCTTCATGTCCCCACTCCACTGGTTATGCATGATCAAATGAACAAGCTAACGACCTGTTTACATGCATTTCCTACACACTGCAGCTGGCGACAATAATAATAATAATTTAATAATAATAATATTTTTGTTACATTATATTGTGCGAAACCAATGCCAGCGCTAGCTGGTCTAGTCTGGTCGACACTACTGTCTTATACAGTTTAAAGTCCTGGATTCGATTTCTGGGGAGACCTCCGACATTGTCGGGAGCGTGGGATTATGACTAGCTGCTGAAATGTGGAGTTGAGGTCGCAGTTGATGGATCAAAATTTGCACGCTATATTGGTGGCGATTGCTGAACCCTCTGCCTCTGCGGATGTTCGGGTGAACGGATGAGGAGGGATCCTAGAAGGCAGGGTCAATCGCCTAGGACTTCCAGTTCGTATGGCGTAGTACAGTGTGGTAATGGTGGATGGTGCTGTATGGTATGATAAATCGTAGAAATGACAATGTGTTCAAATGGCCCAGAAGCCTCCCACCCTGTAACAATTCAACTCAATTCAATTCAAATTCAATGCCAGCTGGCGGCTACAGCATTAAACTCAATCCATGCGTGCTTCGTCGTCTTGGAAATGTTTGATTGTCTATAGAAAGTGCTCTGGTATAATAGGCAGGGACGGCCCTAGTGCATCAGGGTGCGATCTATCTAGAGGCGATTAAAAAGTTTGCAAAAGGTGGTTCGTGCGCTGCTCAGCCTGGCTTAAACTTTTACTGCAAGGCTTGCATACCCGGATATAGCGCTGCAGGCTAGCCGTGACGAAGGCATTGACGCCGTTGTCGTACCACCATTGTCGCACAATCGCTGCGGTGAGGTTAGGATTCAGGCCGCAGTATGAGCTCCTGAACACGAATGTCAGCGAAGTAAGGTTTTGCTTCTTGCCATCGCTTACAAATAGATCCTGCAGCAGTATCGCATCCAGTCACGGGCACAGCACGGTGTATCATTGTATACTCCTTGCATCGAAGCGCGCGCGGGACACTTCAAACACGCGTTCGTGCCGCCGGCCTGAAAAAACTCGTGCAATATGTGCAACTTGAGACTCTTACACAAAGAAACTCTAGCAACAGTGTCCATCGTCGCTCTCGACGACTGCGTGAAACTAGACCGAGTCGCATTCAGGGAGTTCAGATAGACATACGTACTTGAGACATAACATTGCAGTATACGGGTGGCTAGGTGGCTAGGTAGGCACCCTGGAGCCGGTAGCCAAGATTGATATGCCTTATCCGTGCGTGCGTGGCGTGTGTTCATGCATGCATCCAGGCAAGCCAAGGAGGAACTGTACGTGTGGCTACCGGCCAACTGCTATTGACCTGTATGTCGACCTGCGACCTATCCTCCCACCAGCGCGTGAGCCCCTGGCCCACATGGCCCTGTACGCATATGCCCAACATCAGACGGGAACGCACACACAAACACACACACACAAAAAACACACACAGAAGCACACACAAACACACACAAACACACACAAACACACACAAACACACACAAACACACACACACACACACACAAACACACACACACACACACAAAACACACACAGAAGCACACACAAACACACACAAACACACACAAACACACACAAACACACACAAACACACACAAACACACACAAACACACACAAACACACAACACAAGCACACACAAGCACACACAAACACACACCTTATCGGCCGTCTTCTCAATGACTATGGGATTATCCGCCCGGGGCGTCTCGGGTAAGAGGGCATCACTCGTCGTGCGCAGAAGATCGGCAAGGCTCGTAAACTCCTGCAGTGAACGTTTGGTGTTGTGGAAATCCAGCACCATGCGTCGAGCCTTCTCGTGCTCCTCGCTCAGCAACCGGCGGCCGTTGCTGCTGTAGCCTTGGTACGTTTCCCAGCCTAACGTTCTCAAAACGGTTTCAGTTGGGGTGGGGGGGGCCAAAGCATTAGCTGGTATGTAACGGTGCCGCTGTAGCTCCGAAACTGTAGTAGCTGGTACTCAGTACAGCACAAATAACGTCTACGAATACGCGCTAAGCGCGTCCACCAGCATCTCGAGAGGCCTTTTCAGCAGCCAGCTACTAAAGAAACCAATATCCGTGAGTATCCTTAGCAGCCTTACCAGGAATGAGATGTAAGAGAACGAGAACGGAAACGTTACAAATAGTTGGCTCTTCATAGCCGAAAGTCCGCCGCCTGCCTGGTCATATCTAAGCCGAGGGAGAATCTGCCCCGCCGGGTATTATTCCCTCTTCCCCCCGCCGGGTATTATTCCCTCTTCCCCCCGCCGGGTATTATTCCCTCTTCCCCCCGCCGGGTATTATTCCCTCTTCCCCCCGCCGGGTATTATTCCCTCTTCCCCCCGCCGGGTATTATTCCCTCTTCCCCCCGCCGGGTATTATTCCCTCTTCCCCCCGCCGGGTATTATTCCCTCTTCCCCCCGCCGGGTATTATTCCCTCTTCCCCCCGCCGGGTATTATTCCCTCTTCCCCCCGCCGGGTATTATTCCCTCTTCCCCCCGCCGGGTATTATTCCCTCTTCCCCCCGCCGGGTATTATTCCCTCTTCCCCCCGCCGGGTATTATTCCCTCTTCCCCCCGCCGGGTATTATTCCCTCTTCCCCCCCGGGTATTATTCCCTCTTCCACACGTTTTTCCCCACGGCGACCCGATGTATCAAAAAAATGCCGCGAACGGCAGAGCTATTGAATTTTTCGTGCGACTGGAAAAAAATTAATATCGGTGCATGCATGAGGATTAATAATAGGTATTCGGCAATTTCCATCTTACACTTACTTAGACCAAGCCGCGATGCTTGAGTGACTGAAAGTTGCAAAACGAGAGACGTCTGCACCACGTCACCTGTCTTTAGAAAACCAGCCTTTTCACCAAAATTTACTGGGATTTCCAAGGGAGTTACGCTGCTTGCGCGTCTCTCGACAAGTGTATATGTGTACTCGGGCTTGTATGCATTCGCCCTGTTGGCCTCGCGTGCATACTTCGGCGAAGTGAAGTCCGTCACGTAGACCTGCACAGTGCCTGCGCACACGAGAAAATTATCCAATACGCAAAATGCCGGGGCAAGAGGGACACTATGGGAACGCAGCAACGGTTGTGTTATATGCAGTGATGGCAGTTTGCTTGGGCGGATAGTTTGTTAGCTTATTACGTCACGCACGTGAACGGTGGTTTGCGATCAAGAAGCGCGGTATATGTATTCGGCCTTCCCATTATATACTGTTATAATAATTACAAGCAAAGCAAGCAAGTAAAGGACATCGGCATACCGCGTAATACTTCTAATAGGCAAATAAATCGTAATCTAACATTACCTTCAACGAAAATTGTCACATTATTGACAACGGAGCCCGTGCCGACCGCTCGTTGAGCCCACGCACCTGGACGGACAACGACGACGGTTAATGATATTGAGCGACGTTTTCATTACAAAAATGCTAGATTCTTAGAATAACTCGGACTTGTCTTTTCGCATGTTAAAAAACCTTGGCAGGTGCTTGAGCCCAGCTACGGAATGTTGGCTAGCGCCATTCCTTGCACACATGATCAAGCAATTGCACTTTTGAGGCTCCATTAAACTCTAAAGTTAATCCTTAATAATGATTGATATAATCTGATGTTTTATGTGGGGCAGTTGTGCAGTTATTATGGACGCTGAAACCCCGCCATCAACAGAGCGGAACATGAGAGTTAATTTACAAAGTATGCGGGGTAGGACACATTAAATGTATGTCTTACTTTGGAGGTTCAAACATGCTCCTGCTAGCAAAGCAACTACACGCAGCAGCAGGCCCCTTGGGGCCATATTTGGCTGTAGGCCTGCTCAGCAGGACTCAAGTATATAACTTACAGGGCGATGTAATTATGTGTATAAGTTAAGAAAGAAACAGTAATTAAACCCATTGCACAGTTTTTGAGGTTTTTGAGCACGTTACACGACCGATCGATTCGTCTCCTTTAGTTCATGTTTCAGCAGCCGTGCGTACAGAACCGTTCGGAATCTGAAGGCCAATCGCGTCGTCCAGAATCGTTCAGGTTTGGCTTCATGTGTTTTCTGTGTGGGGATATCCTGAAAGTATTGTGAATATGGTGATATTCCTTCCGTTGGCAATAACGCGCCGCGCGGCCGCGCGGCTGGTCAACAGACATACAGCAGACGTTCCGTGCATCGCACGCTTAAGGAAACAAACAGGTTGCCCTCGAGGAAGGGCAAGGGCAGTGTGCTGCCATCGCGCTTTTCCTTAAACCAGAGATGCCATATGGCACATGCTTGTGAAAGGGTTGAGCTATCCTATCCCTATCTTTTAATCCCCGTGGCTTGCTTCATTCCAAAGCCAGCGGAGGGGCACACGGATGGCCTTTTTGGGAGAGGACGCACGGTTACAAGGGATGGAAGGCGAGTAGGGAGAAAGCCTGTTACAAGCAAACCTTTCGCCGCATCCTATATGCATTCGCATGTATGTAATGCATTATATGTACTTGGTCGTGTAGCCAGCAGCAAACAACGTGAGGGTTCCGTAGCCCTGGACCCTGCTGCAAGCAAGGCTACAAGTGAAGGAAAAAAATGGCCCTACCTGCAAGGTGTTGGCAGTGGCGTCAATATGTTTAAAATGGCTAATTCCCCCCCCCACCACCACAAGCCCTGCACGCGTCACTGTTGGAGAAGGAAGGAATCTAGGGGCGGTTCCACTTGTACAAGCAAGCCATATCAATATGGTTTTAACGTTACGTAACGTTCGGTAGCAGTCATGCATGCGTGCAGAGGATATGCATATGCATGCCGGTATCCAGCCGCTAGTTCGCTTATATGTATGTGCACGGACGCATGACCTGATGATTGAAACAGCCTCCTCGCCAGTCCACACACGAGGAAGCCCACATCCGAGTTTTAGAGCAGTCAGGTGTTTCCTGATGGCGACGTTTTTGCGTTTGCTCGGTAACGTCGGTGCTCCGTTATAGGTACGTCCCGCCAGCGGGAGTTACGTACCTCAGGTCTGACACTTCCCCATGCATTTATGGCGATGGCACATAAAATCCTGGAAGTAACGCTACTTCGAAGCAGGAATTCCCTTCCGCGCAGTGCACATTTAATAACACTTATCACTTTCTGATGCAGTTTTAATAAATCTTTTATTGCTTCTACTGACCAGCGGCAGTTTCCCATGCATGTAACTTCGTAATCGCCGCCGGCAATGAGAAGCAAATGGCATCTGTCATAAAAGCAGTCAAAAGTCTCGTAGGCCGCATACGAGAGTATTCCGCTGCGGACTACTTCGCAGCGGAGTGCGCGGGCGCCTCAGACTGCCTATTTGCTATAGCAAGGACCGCCGATGATCGAGGACTTCGGAACCTGTCGGGACTGTAGCATTGTGTTCGCTAGATCATGCTTCATCATCTAGAATAAATGTTTGTTGTGGCCAGTAAAGGCTTTCTAGGGCAACTGACAGCGCTGGCAGAGCTGATGCGGATAGGGTCGTATCTGAAGTCAGGGCGACCAAAACCTTACCAGATATGCTTGCCCGACGCTCCTGCCCGATGGGACTCGCGTGCCAAGCAAGACAGTTCATCTCGTGCGCCCCTGGCTGCCGCGTTTCTACGTAGCGTGACTACTTCGCTGTCTCCTGCCCTCTGGGTTCGGCCGAACCCCCCAGCTGTGTATGTACAGATGCAAGGAGTGAAGCAAGGGTGTCCTTTATCTACGGAGTTGTTTGGACTCTTCATCGAGACACTAGCCGATCTGATTGATACTCATGACCTTGTAGAAGCTGGTGCACGTAAGTGTGACGCACCCCTTGTGGACAGCAAGCGCGTCTCCATACTGTTGTATGCAGACGATGTTAGTCTGCTAGCGACGTCAGTAGAGCGAATGTCTGAGTTGCTACATCTTGTGGACTTGTTTTGTGAAGCTTTTGGGATGCGACCAAATGTCTCAAAGTGTGAAAGGCTTGTTTTTGCATGTGACGGCACCCAGCAGTCGGAACTTAGCGGGAGATGTCAACAGTTACGGCTATCAGGCCAGGTAGTACCTGCCAAAGATAGCGCTCGATATCTGGGCTTGGTATATGGGCCAGAACGGCCTTTTAGTGCGTGCCGTCAGCAGTTGTGTGATACAGGTCGGTCCGCTATGTTTTCCTTAAGCGCAAAGCTGGACAAAATGAAGCTGTTTGCCCCCGATGTGCGAATGCGGTGTTTTGCAACCCAAGTCCGAGCAATTCGGTTGTATGGCTGCCAGGCGTGGGGCCCTTTTGCGCTGGCAGAGGTCGTGAACAGGGCGGGAAGGCGGCGGGATAAAGCCAACCTTGCGGAGGGCATGTTCGAAGCCTGTTTGAAGGATAGTGCAGTCCAGCTGCAGATTTTATTCATGAGGCAGGTAGTGGGGACGGCACGGCCATCCCACAGGCTGTTGTATGCGGAGCTGGCTGAACTCCCCTTACAATATTACATGGTGAAGCAGATCCTCCGTTTCTGGAACCGCCTTCAAAAGCAAGTGGGATCCATTGCTCATGCAGTTTTACGGCAGGAGATAACCGATGCCCTGACCAACCCGGAATGGGAGGGTTGGGGAATCTCAATGTTACGACTGTTTTCCTTCTTGGAGTGCAACATTTGGAGCGGAATACCGCAAGAAGTCGTGGGGGTAAAGGAACGTGTTGACTGGTTGTTGAGTAGACCTCTACCAGAAGGAGCGATAATAACGGCATGAAAGAGAGCGTTTGATGAGCGGCTGGGACCATACGCGTCTGACTGTCTTGCCAGAGGAGTACCCATCAGATGGGAAGCAACCGGGAGTGCAAATGGCGAAGTATAAGCACTGGATGGGGCTGCCCTTTTCGGGAGCCGCAGCCGTCATGTGGCCAACACATGCTAAGGTTTTCATTCCTCGTTTAGCACATCGTAAGCTAATGCAGTTTCGTTTATGTTGCTGGGCTTTGGAGGCGAACAGAGCACGAAGGGGCAAGTACCATGTCCCCAGGGGGCAGCGGTTTTGCCACTGTTGTGGTCCTAATAGCCGAATTGAGGATGAAAAACACGTGTTATTGGAATGCCCAGCCTATAATGATATTCGTGCTGAAGAGGGATTCGATCATCAACAGAGTATGTTGGAGGCCATGCAATGGGAACCCGCACGTCTGGCGAGGATGTTGGAACGTATGTGGGCTCACCGAAACTCAAGATGCTTCGTATGGGTAGTTCTGCAGGTATGGGGTCACGCACCCCCAACCATGTAACACACACACACACAATACACAGTGCTTTGCGACATGATGAATTCATGGACATTATGTAAGCGTTAATGCATTCATTAACATCTGCAGGGTAAAGGCTTCCTGCGTCTGTAAAATCTGCATCGTCTGTAGATCATGCCCTGCATCGTCTATAGATCGTGTCCCTGCCTGGACTGCCCTAATACAATAAAGCACTAAAGCATGATCTAAAAACGCTACAGATTCCGCAGACGTGGTTAGACGTGGTTGCTTGACCATGCAAACCCACGTACTGATGCAGTAAATCGATTAACACTGATTATTATCCCGGTTTCTGCTGTAGCTGTAACCTGATGCTGAGTGGGGTCATGATCCCACTCGGGGTAATCACCCTGCTGGGTGGACCCAGTGGGCCGCCTGCGGGGTTGCTACAGCCAGCCGTGTCTTAATGACGGCCGTGCGTATGACGATGGCTACATGTGCATATGCATGATTGCTGCTTTCTGGGCTTTCCGGGTAGCTATGTCGACAGGACGGACATGCTGTAACACCAGGCAAAGAGTACTCAGGGAGATGCTAAGGGGGCTGAACCCTTCTTACATTCCTCCCCCCTGGAGCGAACAACCTCGGGCGCCCCCGGGCATATCCTGTAGGATTTCAGGTTGTTTGAGATCCCGTAGGAGTATGAATTTGTTTGTTATTATTACTTCTCCGTACGAGAAGGAGGACTTAATTATAGACTCAACTGGTAGACTTTCGCCCACCCGGGCATTCACCTTTGGGGTAGAAATGTGCTACATCATGCCTGGAGCGCTATGTTCGTATCCAGACTCGATTTGGGGAGATCCCATCCCCTAGCAATTAACACAAATGTAAGACCAGGCAAAGAGTACTCAGGGACATGCCAAGAGAGCTGAACCCTTCTTAAACATCCTTTGCAAACTCAGCTGGCTACTGAAATTTCGATTTGCGTGTGTGCGTGCGTCATGTCATATGTCGCGTGTGGTTTAGAGATTGCAATGATGCTGCCCCCTTTTGAGCGGGTCTATCTACTGCTGGACCTCTTTGGGACGAGGTCGGCGAGCCCAAGCTGTAAGCACTCGTGCATGCATGGCGCATAGCTAGCCAACAGCTAGACGCCCCCAGAGACGGCAGCCATGCCCGCCTGTGCCGCGTGTGTGCGTGTGTGTGCGCGTGCGTGTGTGCGTGCGTGTGTGCGTGTGCGTGTGTGTGCGTGTGTGTGTGCGTGTGTGCGTGCGTGTGTGCGTGCGTGTGTGCGTGTGTGTGTGCGTGTGCGTGTGTGTGCGTGTGTGTGTGTGTACGTGTGTGAAGGTTACAAGTATCTGACCGGGCCTGACATTGGCCAGGGGCTGCTGCCCAGCCCCAACGGAAAGACCGCCTAAGCTCTCTCCCGCGGACGGGAGAGGGGCGCGAGGGGGCTCTGACCCTTTTTAAGGAGCCGAGAGCTGCAGGTCCGCTAGCTCCGCTCTCCTCCCCCGGGGGTTTGGAGGCGTTGCGTGTGTTTATGTGTGTTTATGTGTGTTTATGTGTGTTTATGTGTGTTTATGTGTGTTTATGTGTGTTTATGTGTGTTTATGTGTGTTTATGTGTGTTTATGTGTGTTTATGTGTACGTGTGTGTATGTGTGTGTATGTGTGTATGTGTGTGTATGTGTGTGTATGTGTGTGTATGTGTGTGTATGTGTGTGTATGTGTGTGTATGTGTGTGTATGTGTGTATGTGTGTGTATATGTGTGTATGTGTATGTGTGTGTATATGTGTGTATGTGTGTGTGTGTGTTTATTACTTCCGTAGAATGGGCTCGTTGGTTTGCTTGGAAAGTCCGTTTGCATAAACAAACGGTACATTCGCCGCCCTTATTATCTCTCAGTACCGCTCAACACGCATGTACATACGTTGTACGCATGAAATGAATTAACGTGCTAGTGGGAATATGCAGCTATAGTTATATTGGAACCAGCAGCTAGCAGACCCATAATCATCAGCCGCATTAAGCATATTTATACCATCATACTGATGCATCATATTTACCAGCGGCAGGTCACTTAGCCTATCGTTCGTATTCAACAGCACACGAGTTAATGCAGGATCTGTCCACGGCAGGGCGGTAGAGCAAGCGTCGCCGACGTCCTTGCACGAAACTCAAATAATGTTACTGCTCTTAGCAGCTGCTATGCCTATTACTCGACTGCTTATTTAGCGCATCTGCTGCCCCTTTCTGCAGCATGCAGTAGCCGTCGTTACCTAGTACGGCACACACCATCCATTCATCTAATTGCCCTAGCATCTCGAGAGGCCTTTTCGGCGGCCATTCGATTTACTGCCCAAGGTGACTTCAGGGCCCAAGGTGACTTCAGGGCCTCGCATCCTGTGCATCGCTCGGAGGCGGCACGACGCACATGTAGCAGCCGGTACACAGTACGGTGCTATAAATATGCGCAGAGTGCGACCGCCAGCAACTCGAGAGACCTTTTCAGCGGTCAGCTGCTACAGCACAGGATCCAATAAAGATCTCGGATGGACTATAGATCTATAGATCTGTGTCGAGTAGCTAGGGGAAACGGATGACCCTTCGTCTTCAAGTAGCTGGAGACCTGTTCTTATTTCTCTTAGGCCGCGATGGAGTCGCCGGAGGAGGCCGAGGTGAGCCTGGAGGACGCCTTCTGCGCTGCCTCCGTGTGGGTGTGGATGGCCTCGGCAAGGGAGGAGGACTTCGACGCAGTGGGGCGGCTTGCAGCAGCATGGGGGATTGTGTGGACACACGTGGCGGCGGTGGCCGCGCCGGGGCGCCCGCTGCTGTTGGCGGTGGGAACCGCTGGGAGGTGTTGCAGTCCGGGTCGTCCATATCCACCAGCCCATCACTGCATGCGATGGCATGAGGTGAAGACATCCGTTGGGGATGGGTGGGATGGCAAGATACACTTGGCAGGCATGTCGTCAGGATCTAGGTAAGAAATAGCGTTTTGTGTGGATAGTACCAGAGCCAAGGCTGTACAGTGGCCTAACTGCTGGCATCTATGTACAAGTTACAAGTTACAAGTTCCGCACACAAGTGCGGGTGTGTCCGTAAAAGCCGGGGGGGCCATGGACGTTGTATGTATGCGGTCTTCAAGGAAGGATGTTGAAGTTTATCTGTCTGACCGAATCAACATGGTGCTGCACGAGCGCATCGCATGCACCCAACCAATGTACGGGTCAGGAAAGGCACGGGGCACGATGGGGCACCAAGGCGAGCCCCGCGCCATGGCCTAGACGGCCCCAAATACTCAAAGCCACTCCCACTCCCAATACTTTAAATGGGAGACCCTAGGGAGACCCTAGGGAACATGTATGGCCTTTCGCCAAGGGCAAGGATAGAGGCCACAGCGGAGGTGTTATAGCCAAACGGGCATCGAATTAGGACACTTTCGACTAGGCAGGGCAGAAATGCACTTATGGCAACCCCCTTTCCCGACGGTTCAAATTTCTCAGAATGGCACAGGGTGGCTCTGCTATATGTAGCTAGCCAGCCTGCTCACCAGTCGTTGTCGATGCCATCGTCACAAGTCACACTAGACGGGCCATCACCCTCAAGCTGCCTTAGGAAGCGGCATACCGATACCGTTGCGTTGTCAGGAGTTCTGGTTTTGATTCTGATCGTCATGCCACCCAGCCCCGGCACCAACTGTGAGAAGCTGCGAGACAGGCGACCCCAGCCGCTACCGATGTTGGGCGGGTTCCGTTCATCCGTCAGCATCGCCAACACCAGCGGCAATCTGCCAGAAACTCCCGGATTGCCATTAGCCGTGTCGTTGTATTCATGAATCCTGAGCAAGCGTCCGGAAATCAAACGTAAAAAAAGCATATGCATGGTAACGTGAAACGAAGGAGTGTGCACCTGCAGGTGGGTGCGGAACGGACAAGTGATAGTGAACTCCGCACACCCAGCCCGTACACAACCAGGTCTTGCTGGACATACATACCAGTTAGGGCTGGGAATTACAGTTACGGCATTTACGGTGTTGCGCATTACACCGTAAGCAATTACGGTGAACCCCAGAAAACACCGTAAAATTACGGTTCTTACGGTGTAGTGTAATTACGGTTGCCAAAAGATCAAAATTACGGTCGGTAATTACGGTATTACCATTATGCGAGATCCCTAAAAACGATGGGGTCTGTTTGCTATTATTTGCCCCGATACTTACGCACCAGACGCGGTTATTCCAGTTTGTGTTCAGTCCCGAGTCATAACCTCCAGCCTCACTGGGCCGGACCCTGCACATACATACACAACATAAACAGCTATTACAACTTTCCCATTCTGGCCTGGCGCAATACTTTCATTTTTACCGATTTACGCAGCGACACAGGCAGGCAGGCAGGCAGGCAGGCAGGCAGGCAGGCAGGCAAGCAGGCAGGCAGGCAGGCAGCAGGGCCGCACACATGCAGGCAGGCGGCAGGGACGCGTGCATGCATGCAGACAGCCAGGGACCCAATCCTAGGGCCCTCCGCCTTCCTTGAGCTGCTTCACAGGGGGGGGCTGTGCCCCAAGGAAACAGGGATGCTTATGTAGAGGTGCACATTCATCTTCTCTGCGTGGGGTGCTGCCTGCCTGCATTCGTCGCTCCCTCACCCATGGCCGAAGAGTTTCATCAGGACGTCCATCCCCAGTGGCAAACCTGGACGTCTGCGTCTGAGGTCTTTGCATTCCTAAAACCTATTCCTTTGTAATGGGTAGTAGCACATAATTTCCAAATGCAGGTGGAGGGTGAAAATACCTCTGAAAACGGCTTGCTGGGAATAATGCAGGAGATTGCTGTAAGAGCCGGTTAACCCCGCCCTGTCCACTGTAAGGGTGAAAAATGCAGCTTGTATGCGGTAGCGCACGCCTTTCCCTAAGATCATGCCCAGTCCATTTCCAAACTTGTCCTGTCGCTACAGGTATGTGCGTTGCGAGTAAAATATTGACACTCGCCATTCGCTACATGTTCTAGCTGCCGAGCCATGCCAGGAGCAACACGATCGCACCGGGGTCCCTGAACACTCGTATTTCGTAGCCTTTGCACTACCGTTAATGGAAACAAAAGCCGTACATTTGACGAAACGCAATCGATGCATGTGCCATGTTAATATGCGTGAAGCGGGTGTAGCGTGTACTTATTCATGTGTATGTTGCATATCAGTTGCCGCATCCGGATGCGGCAACTGATATATTTCCCCTTTGGTATCCTGCCTTATTCTCAACTTCTTCTTTCCCTAAAGGGGAACTTTGGTTCTTACCTGCGTCACGTCGCTGGGCGCAACATGACAGCTTGGGGGCTTTTAACAGAAGCAACCGGAAAGCAATGGCGTACCTGTAGGAAACGTACAGCGCCCGCTGCGGCTTGCTGCTTTCATCGATGCTATAACTGCTTATATCCGTCACGATGCGCAGCATGTTCATTTTAGTGGTTAACATGGACGGTATGACGAAATCCCGTGAAATGCCAGGCTTCAGGTCCGACGCGTTTAAGTGGCCGCCCAGAATGGGTGACGACCAGCCGGCTTTGTACGACTGCAGCAGGACAGGCGGGCCGAGGCGAAATGCACGTTACAGGGTTCATGTGAATCCATAAATGATGTGTGATGTGTGATGTGTGATATGTGTGGCAGGGGGGTATATCTTCACCCGTGGCCGCTACCTGGCGAAGCCCTGCCTTCCCCGGTATTTCGGGGCACCCTCATCTAGTCACCATAGTCAACTTCTCAGTGGATCGCTTAGGTTCCGCACCCACCACCGGCATCCAACGGAATCTGCCGGGTCGACGGCGGCTCAACTCCATTCCTGGTCAGCTCGCAAGCTAACGTTATCCCAGGTCACCACCGTCCATCGACTAGGGGCACTTTACTTTCAACCATCGGAAGGATTTTCGACCTTGACAGGTCTCAATCCCGGGATCTCCCGGGGGCATAATGTTTGATGTGCAAGGAAAACCAAAGATTGCATTGGGAGGAAGACCGACATGCATGCTGGAATTTCTTATGAATTTCGGATGTGTATACTGGGCGTAATTTGTTGAGACACACACAGGTGTTGCATCTTTGGGCATTTTACACACGCATTGAAGCCGCATGACACACCTGCGGCGCGTTGGTGCACACAATCTGCTTGAGCGGATCCATTGCCCAGGCGGAACCCATGGGGTCGGCTGGGTCGCCATATTCGTCACGCTGGCAGCCCATTTGGTCGCATGCTATGCGGCCGGAGTGCAGCAGACCGATGTTATGCCCTGCAGATGGATGTGTGTCAAAGTAGGGAGCAGGGGCACCCCGTCAAGCATTGTTTGCCATCCACGGCGCTTCCACCATCCCATACCATGTGTAACGTCTCCAGGATAAAGGATGGCCAGTAAGGCAACAGCGCCGTTGTATCCTACTATACGGGTACGAAAATACCACATGATGTGCCCTATGCGACGGCAATTATTGGGCTGGTGGATTGTTGTATCACGTCTTTTATCACGTCTAAAGAACCGATCGGCGGATGACAGATCCCGTGACACTACATGGACAGCTTGTGCAGAAGAAAAACGTTGCCACCTCAAGCGCCGGTGAACAACAGCCACTATATCGATTTGTCCGCCGTTCCTTTTTTCGTACAGTCAGGCATGCAGTTACATCCACGCCCTTACTTACCAAGCTCTTGGAACACGACAGGCATGTCCGGTCTGTCATCCGCCACGCCAGGGTTGATCCAGGTATAGCAGTCCTGGTCCTGAGCACAGCCCACCATGGCCTGCACGCGCGTCAAGCAGTCCACGGAACATAACCTGATAATAAATGTAAACTGTGGCCAGCCATCTGCCAGCTGCAGCGCACATGGATTTAACTTCGTCCCTCGCTCGTCCGTACATTTCACCAACAAAACCCGCGAAGGAAACCAGTCGGCCGGCTCATCTTTAAAAGGTAAAGCAAGCACTTTCATGTCTTACGGGACTAACATCGTCAGGTGAAGGCACGTACGTGTCCTTCCCGTCGAGGGTAGCTCAACCTTGGGCCTGTTGTAACCTGTGCCATTTCTGGGATGCGGTCTGTTTCCTAATTTGGGTTTTGTCGTTGCCCGATCTAACAGTACGAAGCGACGTGCTAAATATCTGTAAACTGTCTTGCGTGCCCGTTGATGGTGTACGTCCAGAGTCGTGGTTAGCTGGGCTGGACGTGCGTACCTGTGCTACAGTACTGTCTGTCCGTATCTGAATGCGGCTCCTGGCGGAACTGGCGGAAGGCCCCCCCCATGGCTGTATATGGTCGGGGGCGAGGGCCTCAGGCTAAGACTGGGACAGCTGTGTCCTTCCCTGGCTCAAGTGTTCTATTTGCTGGTTGGAGGCGTGTTTTTGTGAGAAAATATATGAAGAGAGACTGGTTTGAGTTGTCGTACGCCATATTGATGTCATCCGTTGGCGGACATTCTGGAATTACGTTGGATTCCCATGACATCACTAAAAATTATATGAAAACGGTACATGGGCCTTCCAAACGTTGTATTTTGGCGCATCGTTTATGATTGTGTTGAGTAGGGGAATACAGCTTCACCTGTGGCCCCACTAGCTAGCTATAGCCTGGCAGACCCTATCTTCCTCGGTGTCCGGGGGTACCTTCCTCCTCCTCACTCATGCCGACTTCTGAGAGGCCAGTATTTTTCAGGTTCAGCATCCATAACCAGTATCCAGCTTATTCTGCCGTATCAACGGGCGGCGTCACTAGTAGTAGTAGTAGTAGTAGTAGTAGTAGTAGTAGTAGTAGTAGTAGTAGTAGTAGTAGTAGTAGTAGTAGTAGTAGTTGTAGTAGTAGTAGTAGTAGTAGTAGTAGTAGTAGTAGTAGTAGTAGTAGTAGTAGTAGTAGTAGTAGTAGTAGTAGTAGTAGTAGCAAAATGTGGAATTGACGTCGCCGTCACTATACCCGGGACAATCACACTGTCCATCGGCATGGGTACACATTCACCCCCTAAGGGTTGGAGAGCTTTCATCCCGTTCTATGTCTGGATGAATCCTGGAACTTTATTTCCAGGGACTCTGTGCCCCACCTTAGCATATTTGCTGAGTCTGGAGCCGTTATGCATGGTTGTGCAGTTGAAAGAATACTACAGGGCCATGTATAGTCACGGCATGGCCGAACTTTAAAGCAAATGCGCAACAGCTAAGATTTAGCATTTGAAACAGGTGCGTCGATGGTTGCACCGCGTACGTACCAGTCCTGCGAAGCCAGCCCATTGATTGTACCAGTTGAACGGAAATACCATAACTTTGCGTCGGTAGCTTGACCAGTTCCTGAGCAACGTGGCGTTCGTGCGCTGCATGAAGTGATAGGGCCCGGGTACGACGGGTAAAAATACGGGAAGTAAGATTACTCGTTTGGCGTATTATTTGTCCGCATTCGTTTATATACCTTCCACGCACTTCAAGCACAGGCAGGAACATTGCAAGTTGACTTGGTGTTTAAACACTCAGCAGAGAACAGCTAAACTAACAGGAACCATGAATCATACAAAGAACGATGAGGACCCCGCAACACTCGCAGGAACTCACACCCTTCGCTGTCAAGATAAAGACACCCGATATTGATTTCGTGTTTATAGAAGTAGCTAGCTTGCTTACTTGAACGTACTGCTTTGCGAGCTCCACTAACCCGTACAACTCGTTATCAGCGTTTACACCGTTTCCATTCCCAGTCCTCAAGTCGTACTTCCCCCTTGATGTGCTTCCAGCGCAAGGGATGTCCACGTCAAACACCAGATTGTCCTCCGGCTGGAAGATGAGCTGGTTGTACGAGCACGACTGCGAGCGATCACAGGTGCAGAATTAAAGCCGCATGGACGGACACACAAGTATAACAGTAGTACACAGTCGCGTCGATTGAAGATGGCCCCTTCCCTTCCACGCATCCCGCCAACAGCAATGCACGCGAACTTACGTTATAATAGCGTTGCAAGGTGGCGACTATTGGTGCGCTGTTGCCTCGATCGAACCACCATGATCGGAGCTTATTGGCGTCGAGGGAGGGGTTCAAGCCGCAGGATGAGCTCTTGAACACAAAAGTTATCGAGTTGATGCGTTGTTGCTTGCCGTCGACGATGAACAGGTCCTAGGAGGAAGGGTCAAGTAGCTAGGGTTGTGAGTAGAACCCGGTGAAATAATTATACGGCGGGCTAAAACCGCGCTGCAAAATTAAATCGATACAACGCGCACTATTAATATTGCGTTCAGCATACCTTCAAAGCAACCATTACTACCATCCAAAGTAACCAGTACTACCATAGTTCCTAAATTGCTGATGCGTGCAAATTTTTTGAGATTGAGATCTTGGACAAAAGATAACCCCTCTGCCAGCATAAGATACAAACGACTAGTAATTATCCATCCTGATTCATCACTAGATGTCCATAAGTCAGCACTGCCCAGCCGGGCTGCAGCTGGATGCATCGCGAGCCGTTGAGATACGCAAACAGTAGTTGTGGCGCCGCTTGTGGCGTCGCCTGACGCGTGGATGCAAGCACAGCCCAACCACTGCAGTTTGGCGGCACATATGTACATTTATTTACCTTATCGGCAGTCTTCCCAACGACAATGGGGTTATCTGCCTTGGGCACAAGTGATGACAAGGTGGTGATATTGATGGCCCTAAAGAGACTAAGCAGGGATTGGACTGCCTGAACGGAGCGGCGAGTGTTGTGGAAATCCATAACCATACGCCGCGCCTGCTCGTGCGCCTCACTGAGGAGTCTACGTCTGGAGGAGGTCGTTCGCCCGCCAGCTGAGCCTGCTGCAAGGTGAGGTGCATAGGCAAACGCGGAGTTAGAGGACATGTAATAAATTAGTGATGCAATCATGATGATGACAATTTTTTTACAGACGGCCTTTCCCTGACAGTCAGGAACGGCGGGACGAAGCCTTCCACAACGCCCTTTTCCGGTAGTAGTTCGCTCGTCAGCAGGTCTTAGGCAAACATAACAAGACTAAAAAATACTTCAAATAAGAATATCACATCTACTAGAGATAGTTATGACGTACGCCGACGTCATTATCCTTCTTGGAGGACACCACGAACGAAGTATATTCCTGCCCTCCTGCCTGCTGTCTTTGTTCTCACATACCTAGTCCTAGCTGCACCGCTTGTGCAGCTGACAACTGTAGCGTAATTGGGGCTTGCACTAAGTCTCCGGTGGACAGCGATGAAGCCTTCTCGCCGAAGTCGACGCGGATAGAGGCGGAGGTGGGGCTCTCGGGCTGCTTCTCCGCCAAGGTGTACAGCATATCCGAGGTGGATATGGGTCGGATTATTGACCTAAGCGGTGTTTCGTGCGACACGTAGACCAGGACAGTGCCTGAAGCCATTCACGCACGCGGCCAGGCTTCGTTAACAAACGACAAAACCGATAAACCTACCTGCATCATTATGTGGAACCGAGAGATGCAGAACTGCACGATACCACCCCACATGTTACCAGGGGCTCCGTCCGCTGGGGGGGACTAGCACTTCTAATGCCTCAGTTGTATTACAAACACACACAGTGTTAAGAAAGAATTGTCCTCCTCGCGCTTGGTTTGCTGGTCGGAGAGGATCTAATGAAGTTACGACTGTCCCCAGCAAGGTGTGGCTGCGCAAGCGAGCCGCCGTGTTTTCACGCACCTTGAACATGAATTGTTACGTTGATTGCCACCGCCGACTTATTTGTCACCGCACCTGCGCAGTGGTCATGGCATCATGCATGAGTCCTTGATTTGGGATTGTGCAATGCAAGTGTATTCCTGGTTGGAATCGAAGGAACGTGGCTGGCATAAACCATTTCAGAAATTGGATTGGAGCAGGATACTTACCCGCAACAGAAAGGCATGCGCCTGCCAGAAGGGCCGCCAAGAGTAAAGCCCGTCCGGCCATAGGATAATATTAGGACTAAAAGCTATGCTGCGACCCGTCCCCAGCGTAGCTACTAAGCAAGGTACGCATCAAATAAGTCAGCAGCCAAAAATACTGAAGAAAACTCCGTGAGCATTCGACTGAGGAGTCGAAGCAAGCTTGGCGGCGGTTGGGTTTCGGTTACGTTTTTGTCCGTTCGCCACATTTCGTACAGGCGGGTTCATTCTCAAAATGTCTTCTCATCTTCCAAGCAGATACAAATTTGATAATTGAGAATTTCATATTATTGTATATTTAAAAATGATGTGTCGGGACCTAAGTGCAATCTTAGTAACGGTTCGTGTCCTCGGCCGTAGCTTTTCCAAGACGTGACCAGATACTTCTGACACGATGCATTTTATAAATTAATTCATGTTATTTATCCAATCAACCTAAGTACCGGCTCTGGATAAAGGTGTGGGTCCGGTACTGAATCGATTGATGGCTAAATTTCACACATGGCATCGACTAGACAGCTAGGTGCTAGGTAACATCAAAATGATTAATATATACACGCCACCAGACGCAATATAGGGATAGAATTCTCGAGGAGATAAATGGCGCCAGGACAGATTGCGCGTTGGCATGGTTTGGCCACGCAGATAAGCCACGTAGGATGCAATGAAATAGATTTAGATCTCACAAGGCTAGGTGCATCATTGTATATTAACTGTCTTAGATGCGTGCCGTCCCTTATTGGTGCGCGACGTGGGTATATTAACTGTCTTAGATGCATGCCGTCCCTTATTGGTGCGCGACGTGGGTGACGGCGGCGGGCGACGGTGCGGCGGGTGCGATGAAGCTGAAAGGAGGGAGCCTTCTGTACGTACTCTACTGCTGTATCCTTACATGTTCACAGCCACGAAAGAATTCCTCGGCTCCAAATACTCTTCTTTATGGCTGCAGATGTTTTAAAATCTACGGAAATAAACCAAATGCAAGCAAGCACGACTCGCTGGGGTCCGGCGCTTTGCTGGTCTTAACAATAACATGCATATACAACATGCGGCCTTTTAGTGCGTGCCGTCAGCAGTTGTGTGATACAGGTCGGTCCGCTATGTTTTCCTTAAGCGCAAAGCTGGACAAAATGAAGCTGTTTGCCCCCGATGTGCGAATGCGGTGTTTTGCAACCCAAGTCCGAGCAATTCTGTTGTATGGCTGCCAGGCGTGGGGCCCTTTTGCGCTGGCAGAGGTCGTGGACAGGGTGGGAAGGCAGCGGGATAAAGCCAACCTTGCGGAGGGCATGTTCGAAGCCTGTTTGAAGGATAGTGCAGTCCAGCTGCAGATTTTATTCATGAGGCAGGTAGTGGGGACGGCACGGCCATCCCACAGGCTGTTGTACGCCGAGCTGGCTGAACTCCCCTTACAATATTACATGGTGAAGCAGATCCTCCGTTTCTGGAACCGCCTTCAAAAGCAAGTGGGATCCATTGCTCATGCCGTTTTACGGCAGGAGATAAGCGATGCCCTGACCAACCCGGAATGGGAGGGTTGGGGAATCTCAATGTTACGAGTGTTTTCCTTCTTGGAGTGCAACATATTTGGAGCGGAATACCGCAAGAAGTCGTGGGGGTAAAGGAGCGTGTTGACTGGTTGTTGAGTAGACCTCTACCCGAAGGAGCGATGATAATGGCACTAAGAGAGCGTTTGATGAGCGGCTGGGACCATACGCGTCTGACTGTCTTGCCAGAGGAGTACCCATCAGATGGGAAGCAACCGGGAGTGCAAAAGGCGAAGTATAAGCACTGGATGGGGCTGCCCTTTTCGGGAGCCGCAGCCATCATGTGGCCAACACATGCTAAGGTTTTCATTCCTCGTTTAGCACATCGTAAGCCAATGCAGTTTCGTTTATGTTGCTGGGCTTTGGAGGCAAACAGAGCATGAAGGGCCAAGTACCATGTCCCCAGGGGGCTGCGGTTTTGCCACTGTTGTGGTACTAATAGCCGAATTGAGGGACTGTAATATCACACCACGGATGCGATCGTGGCACCTGCGTCTGTGTGCGTGCAAGAAAGCGAGGGCCTTCACTGCAACCGCTGCGCCCACTGAGAACCCATACAGAAACACGGGGAGCTGTGTGCAGTCACAGCAGTGTTCCACCACCTGCACCATCACCAGCGGTGCGTGTACGACGTTGATAGATTGCGGGCTGTCCACACCATACCCTGGGTACTCAAAGCAGTAAACCGTGCATCGAGAGGCGTTGGCGAGCAACTGCACGATACTCTCCTCACATGCTGCTTTGGAAGTGTACCGGTATGGCTTTGGCTGGAAGGGCTGGTGTGCAGAGCCCAGGTCCCACGTGTTGCCCTTGGCAAAGACCATCACACCCATGCGCGGGCCCGTTGAGGGTTCTGTGCGTGTGAAGAGAATGTCGCTGTTGGCAGATCCCCAGAGCTGCTGGGTACAACACTGCTCAAGTACTGAGAGTGCACGAACTGGAGCCAGGACACGGGCACGCCCCGCGGACAAGTGCTGCTGTCGAGCCACGGACTGGCATCTGGGCCGTTTCTCTTTCGCCTTTTTAGGAACATTCGGTCACCCTTCACCGTGTAGCTGTGCACTTTGTCCGATCGCTCAAACGCCACGAATCGCAACTCTGCTTCTTCCAGCTTCCAGCGCTTTCAGGACGGCCTTCCATGGAGGTACACGCACAAGGTCGACCACTCTCATGATCGTTTCGTCCGCTACCCATGAGGATAACATGTCTGCCAGGATAACGCAAGCCTCCTCCTGATCAATGTGCTGGGGCGTGCAGCACAATGAGCGACAGAACTGTAATGTCGCAGTTGTTGACCCCGACCCCCAGGTGAAGCGGCGCTGCCGGGGCTCCCACTGCGGGCAGGCGCCTTTCTTCCCTGAACGCTTCCTGCACCAGGCCGCGCAGCTGCGCATCAACGACAGCGCCCGGGCGTGCCCACGCCGTACCCGCCAGCGCCAGCAGCAGCGAGTCGCTGCGGTTGCTGACGCGAATCGTTGCTGCCGCAGCACCAGGCGCTGCCCCGCAGCCGTGAAGAAGCAGTGCACAGAAGCCAGCGGTGCGGGCGTCGCAGTCAATCTCATACACAATGACATCCTCACACAAGGTTGTCTCGAGTAGCGTGTACATCTTACGTAGCCCGAGGGCCGCCATCTTGTCGTCCGGTAGCAGACGTACTAGACCACACTTGGCGGCAACGCCTGCCACGCGTGCCAGGTTGTCGTGGTATGCCTGGTATGCCGCAGAGTCCGGTTTGGGCGGCAGCTGCTTGTAGCCAATCGCCCCCGTCCAGAAGATGGCGATCCATGCGAGGGCCCCGAGCTCTTCATCGTCTGGGAGCAAACGAAGCAGCTCTGCCGCCGCAACCGACGCACCGTCGGTCAACAGATCCAGCAGCGCATAATACTGGACCTCGGTGTGGTTCTCGCCTGCCTGCAGCTTCTCGTCCTCGCCCGCCTGCAGCAGCAGAAGTACGGCCTCCGCACGCACTTGCGCCGGCGTACTACCTCCCAGCCACTTCAAACGCGTCTCCTCGGAGTACCTTGTCACAATCGGCAGGCCGTTCTGCTTCGCCCTGCACACGAAACGCACGAGCTGCTGTGCTGTTGGGGAGGTTCCTGGCCCGCTGCCAGGGGCGTGCGCGCGGGCGAAGGCTGCGATGCCCGCAGGACTGAAGTGAACCCTACGCATAGATGCCATGCTGGCGTGGCTGCATGCCTTGAACACCTTGCCGCCGTCCAGCGGCAGAAGTGCAGCTATGTTGCCGAGCAGGTCGCTGGGCAACTTGTCCAGGGATATGGAAATCGGCAAGGCCTGCTTCATTTGCCACTAGGCCGCCTGCAATCAAAACAAATAGGACAAACAGGACAAATTGTATTAGACATGAGGAGCTCTGCAAAACGGGTATCTCGCGGACGCGGCGTGGGGACGCGGGTAGCTCTCGGGGCGCAATTCACGTGACGAAGCAAGCCCTTGCTCTCTAAACTCAACCCATTGTCGCACCCTAAATTTCAGATCTTTTCGTTCAAAGGATGGGACAGTGATAACGAAAGTGCTGTAAGTACGTTTCACGTTGCAAGACGTGAGGTTTCTCGGGGGTTTTGTACCCGAAGAGCCATTCAGAAGTTGGGACGGAAGACAATCCACGCAGACCTACAAATATATCGATGTTTACGATGTAGGAATGGGTTGTACTTCCCTCCTGAAAACTGCCTGACAGGCACGCATTTAGCAGCCTATTCTTGAGTTGAAGACGTGGCCATGTGTCTTAGTGCTTACAACGTGGCAAATCCTTAAACCTGATTCAATGAAGTGTACACGAAAGACAGTAAGCTACTTACCGATTATCGAATAGGCGAGATGCGAAAGCCGCTGCCCTAGTTTCCGACGTCGACGTCTGCGCCATCAAATTGCGAGGCAAAGACCGGCGTATCCTACTGCTGGATTTTACTAGTTCATTAACACAATTTCAAATGGCATCCGCTCGCATGTCGGAACCTGAAAAAGGGAGAGACGGCGGCAGACGAAAGGGTTTATATCAACCCAATTCAACGGTTTCGGGGCACGACAAGTCCCCACTTCCTCTGGGGCATTGTTCGCATCTGGATGCCGATTTGGTAATGTTGAAGGGTCTGAACAAGAGCTGTGTAAGGTGCGGCATCCTGAAAAGCTCCGCCACTGGTCAGTCTGCTCGCGAAGTCAAGTCAAGTAGCGCAAGTCATACGGCGCAAGTCATACGGCGCAAGTCATACGGCGCAAGTCATACGGCGCAAGTCATACGGCGCAAGTCATACGGCGCAAGTCATACGGCGCAAGTCATACGGCGCAAGTCATACAGCGCAAGTCATACAGCGCAAGTCATACGGAAGTCATACGGCGCAAGTCGCAACGAGCGCCCATGCCGCGCCACCGCTGGCACATACTCACCGGCCTACTAGCTGGCTTGATTGAAGTTGTTTACATCACATACTACACCAAGCCTACGCCCCACTTTGTCATCAGTCAGGCCCGCCTGGCCGACGTCACCTTCCAGCTTTTAAATAGGGGCAACCCTCTCATGCTGGAGGACCGCATCGCAAGCAGCTGCTATGAGGTTGCCCGCAACCTGCTCGCCGGGCAGCACCTATTTGTAGGCAGCATCGCTCAAGCAGCAAGCAAGGTGGCTCCTCTGAGGTGTAACTCATCCAAGTGGCTCGTGCTGCATGCAGCATCCCAGGATTCCGATGTCATGATAGCCCACCCGCACCAGGTCGCAGGGCGCCAAGCCTACGTGGATGTACGCCTGAAGCACGGGTAGGTGCTCATACTGCCGTTCAGGTGGTGGTACAGCACCAGCGGGATTGGGGTGGGCATGTGCGCAGTCGATGACCCCCTGTCTGCCCTTGTGGGCCACGCGTTCAAAGCTTTGTCCCCGCGTGAGTACAAGTGACACAAGCCGAGTACACTCCGTCAAGGCAGTATAATGATTACACCACTACCTTGCCGGCAATGTATGACTCACTGGGGCTGCAGGCAGTCCCGCTGTAAAGACCCTATGATTCCATCACTAAAGGTCTCTACGCGTCTTTACTAAAGCCTTTCTGGGGCACACGCAAGCCCGTCCCAGACCGAGAACCCCACCCCTCCAGCATTTTAGGATCCGCCCAACAACATCCCCCCCCCTGTCTCTGCAGGGGGCCTTCCTCCAGCGGCCCTGCTCAGCCAGCATCAGACAATCCAAGATATTTTGAGCGCAGCGTTCAGGTCGCGGTTCACGAAGTTGGCTGGTGGAACTACACTAGAGCAAGTCCCGAGCCGATTGTCATGTCTGGCCACAGGCTGTACAAGGGGGCACAATCCTTGTCACCGCTTCGCTTCTTGCTCACCGTCCTGCAGCCGCTTGAAGAAAAACACATGTACTGCATTCATGGACAAGCAAGCAATCATGGACAAGCAAGCAATCATGGACAAGGCATGCCATCTTCGACGAGCAACTGGCGTTCCTGCTGGCCACAGACGGACCAGAGATCACGTTGTCAAAGCGCCGGAAAACGATCGTCATGCAGGGCAAGCATCACACTGCGGCACTGCCGGAAGACTTCTTTGCCGGGCTCCAAATGTACCACAAGCTGAGGAAAATGCGAGTGCCGGCAGGTACCAGGTGATGATATACAGATCTCCTCCTTCCGCCGGTGGGGGCAAATCTATGGGGCCACTTACTACGTACTCGGGGTTGCGTGACGAGGTAGATGATGTTTGACCGCCCGTGGCGGCTGGCGCCGCCTGCGCCGCCCCTTCCATATCACCATTTTTCACAGAACCTGGCCTCTTCTCCGGCTTCGGATTTTCTAGGCTCAAACCCCTGCAATCAGACACCGCCCTCAAACCTATGCCCGGGCTGGGCACCCAGCCCTGGAGGCACTTTACCCAGTCGGTGTCTAGTGGTTACAGGAGCAGCAGCTTGTTGGGCTGGTAGTCCGGAGTCCGGAACTGGTTTGAGACGAGCCGCACCCGGTGTTGTGATGACGGCGCTGGATGCACGGCGCTCTCCTGGCGTCTGCTGCAAGCCCGCACCGTGTCAACGTTGTGGTGCGTGTGCCCATACAGCCACGCAGCTACAGCCGGCCTATCAACCAGGCCGTCCAGGTTGTTGTAGTAGCAGCAGTTGAGCGGGTCGCCGTGGTACACAGGGTTCACTGTGTCGCACATGGACGGCCAGTGGTGCGTGATGACAACCTGCGTGCTGCCATCATCTCTACTGGTCTCGCCCTCCAGGAACGACACACTCTCGCGGTGCAGCGCCCGTGCAACATCAGGCGTGTGGCCAGGTATGTGCAAGTAGTCTCCTGCGGACCCCAGGTGGGTGCCCAACGCGGCGTCGTCCATGTTGCACCAGAGAGTGCTGCCCACAAACGTGTACGACCCGAACTGGAGGGAGCTGTTGTCGAGGATGACGGCGTTTGCCACCACACTGCACGCGCTCCGCAAGCTGGCCTTTGCGGCTTCCACCGAGGAGCTGCCATAGTACTTGTGGTTCCCCGGCACGAGGAACACAAGCTGGCACAGGTTGCCGCAGTGGGCGAGGAAGCGCCGATACACTTCCTCACCTGGGTGGCCAATGTCGCCCGCCAGAGCAATCACGTCCATGGGACCTGCCGAGCTCGGCAGGATGGCCTCAAATCCGAGATGTCCCCTGCCTCCAGGTGCACATCCGAGCAGAGCCTGACGATCATGGTGGTCAAGGATTTTGCATGAACAGGCTGGTGTGCTCGCGGGCCCTAATAGTCTTTTTTTCATCGTGCAGCGGCCTAAAGCCGCCACACAGATGTGTGGGGGGGGGCTGCAACCTTTCTTCATGCCGTGCCAGAGCCTTCCGTACAAATACAAGGAAAACATCTGTATCGCATCGGTAGTTTTCCCGCCCCCGGGCGTTTCACCACCAGCCCGCTCCAAGCATGAGTTTGCAGATCATCACCACCGGCACGGACATCGGCTACAACACGTTTGGCGACCGCGCTGTCAAGAACGCCTTCCCTGACATCAGACTCTATGACAACCTGAGCACCTATGCGGGCAAGGATGCCGGGAAGCTGAACCAGGAGGGCTACTGCAACACCGTGCTGGGGTACGAGGCTGCAGGGCAGGCCTTGGCGGGCAGCGGCAACGTCGCAGCTGGCTACAGGGCTGCGTACTTGACCCAGGGCAACGAGAACGTATTTGTGGGCAACCTGTCGGGTACAGTGGCCGTGATGACAGCGCCAACGTGGCGGTGGGCAGCTACGCGCTGGCGGGCGACACGGGTGCAGCAGGTAACGTGATGCTGGGCTTCAATGCCGCCACGGATGCGCAGTGCGACAACAGTGTGCTCATAGGCTTCTGCAACACCGTGAGCAGCGGCGGCGCACTGAGCCTGCTCAACGTCAACATAGGCTCGCTGGGGCAGACCTCCGGCCGCCTCAACACCGCCCTTGGCTACAGCAACAGCGCGCGCGGCCGGAACAACGTGCTGCTGGGCGCCAACGTGGCTTGCAGCAGGAGCAACAACGTGCTGCTGGGAGCGGGCACCCCGTGCTCGGGCTCCGGGAACATCATCATGGGCGGCTCAAACAGCGACGTGTCTGCGATCAGCTGCCTAGTGCTGCGCTCCCCGTGCCTGCCTGCCATGTCCAACACCACGGACGGCTACATCAACATCATGGACTTCCTGACCCGCACCCGCGGCAACGTCTCGCTCACCGGCGACACGCTCAAGCTCTCCACCACCCGAGGCTGCGTGATCGCCATGAACGACCAGGATGTGACCATCAGCCCGCGCAGCATGCTGCTGGTGGACGGCCCCGCCCGCTTCAACGCGCCTGTGACGCTGCAGCAGTCCTTTGACCTGTTTGGCGATTTGGATGTGGGAGGCGCCATCCACCTGAACCGTGGCGCCCGACGCTTCTGGACCATAGACATCATGCAGCGGCCCGAGTACAGGGGCGTGGCTGCCGACCTGGTCTTCCGCTCCCGTAACAACACCGAGTGCAGCTTCACGGATGATTTCATCCCGGACATGCTCAACTTCACCGGCAGGCACAGGGCGCGTGTCGCAGACAGCTGCCCGGCGCTGAAGCCCGGCATGCTGGTGGTGGCCACGGGATGCTACGGCAACCTGGAGGGCGAGGCCGACCCCAGCATCGACGAGGCGATTCCTGTGGTGGACGTGGCGAGGGAGCCCGGCGACCCGCGCGTGTTTGGAGTGGTGGCTGCCGTGGAGCCGTCGGACGCGGCACACCATAGCTACCGCCTGGGCAACCTAGCATTCACGATGGACTGCAGGAGCCCGCGCGTGGTCGTCAACTCTGTGGGCGAGGGCGGCATCCTCGTGTGCGACGCCAACGGCCCCATCCGCAACGGAGACCTGCTGGTTTCCTCTCCGGTGCCGGACATCCAACGTCGATGTGGGTGCCAGCATCATGACCGTCCATGCCGGTGACAGCACCCTGGCCATGTCGCCCAGCAACATCACCGCCGCCTCGAAGAGCAACATGACCCTGAGCGCTGCCGACCAGATCTTCATCAACAGCCGCGGCCTGAGCATCACAACCGACACCATGCAGCTGAAGCAGCAGGACCTGTCCCTGACCGCTAGCGGCTACCTGCTGGTAGCTGGTGGCAGCCAGGTCCTGCTGCAGTCGGGCAGCAACATGGTGAAGGTCACTCCTACCTCCGCCCTGCTGCAGACGGTGCAGGGCGACATGACCGTCAGCGCCTGCAACAGCCTGGCCGTGGCTGCAGCCAGCAACGTCACCATCGCCTCGAGCAACTACGCCCTGACCGCCGGCGCCGTCACCGTGCAGTCGGCCACCGCCGTCAGCACATCAGCCGCGCTCATCTCCAGCATCAGCTCCAGCCAGGTGCTGCTGCAGAGCGGCCCCAACTCCTTCAGCGTCACCCCCAGCAACGCCACGGTATACTCCAGGAACATTGCGTCCGTCGTGGGCGACAGCCAGGTCAGCCTCCGCTTGGGCAGCAACTACGTGATTGTGACGCCCAGCAACGTCGCATCGTATGCCACCAGCGTGCTCTCGAGCGTGGGCGACAGCCAGGTGCTGCTGCGGTCCGCCAGCAACTTTGTGTCGCTGACCCCCTCGGCCATCAGCCTCAGCTCGACCAGCAACCTGAGCATGACCTCCAGCTCCAACGTCACCATGACCACCACAAATGTAGATGTGACAGGCTCGGCTCTTGTGAAAATCGGCAACAGCAATGTCGCCGTCCAGGTACCGTACCCACCAGCACCGCTGACTGGAACTACAACTACACTGTCGGGTCAGAGCTACGGCAACGGCACGTACATCATCAGCGCCACCTCATCAGTCATGAACCTCGAACGGGCTTTCGACCGTAACCTCAATACCTCAACCTACGGCAGCAGCCTTTACTATAATGTGGATAGCCGAGCAAGTGGTCTAGTCTCAATGAAAATTGACGGAAATGATTACAGAGGAGAATGGTATGGCCTTCAGCTGCCGTCTGCCGTGATTGCATCATCCTACAGCTTTGCATGGGCGGGAGTGTTCAAGGTAGACTCATGGATCCTTGCAGCATCGACAGATGGAGCAACCTGGGTTGTGCTGGACAACAAAGACCAGATCAACAACACCCTACTGCCAGGCGTGAGCACTCTAGCCACCTTGTCACTTCCAGGAACAACCTCTTACAAGTACTATCGGTTGCTAGTGACAAAGCTCGTGAGCGGTGCTACCCTTGGCATTGCGGAGTTCAGCATCAATGTGTCGCAGGCCAGTCCAAGTTCAACGCTCACGCTTGCGCCCGCAACCACATCGCTGACTGCGGGCATGGACATGCTCATCACGGCCTCCAACAACATGACCGTGACATCCCTGCAGGCCATGAGCGTCAGCGCGTGCAACAGCCTGGCCATGTCCACGGCCTGCAACATGAGCCTCACGGTGGGCAGGGACGTGACAGCCACAGCCTGCAACGTGTCCATCACCGCGGCAGGCACCAGATCCATCAGTGCGACCGGCACCCTGCAAGCCGTGAGCGCCCAGTCGGTGACCGCCCGGTCTGGCTCCAATGCGCTGTTTGTGTCGCCATTGGTGACCGAGGTCCGGGCAGTGGTGGGCGACTACCGTGTGGGCACCAGCAACTCGGTGCTGGTAGACATGGCCAACACCTTCCGCCTGCGTGCTGCCACCCTGGACATGGGCCTCAGCAACGACGCCATCGTCACGGCGCGCGGCAATGTCACCATCACCTCGGGAGACGTGCTCACTGCCACCTCCTCCAACGCTGCTATTGTTCGCTCCGGTTCCAACCTGCTGACCATCGCCAAGGACAGCTCCCTGTTCCAGACGTGCACGGGCGACATGATGCTGGTGTGCGGCCCCAGCGGCGGCCCGGGTGCCGCGAGCGTGATCCTGGACTCGTCCGCCACCTATGGTGTCAACATCAAGTCCGCTGCCTCCAACGGCACGGACTCGGTGTACCTGCAGCTCGCCTCCTCCAACCTCACCGCCGTCGCCACGGGGGCGCACATGTTCTACGTGGGCGACACGTCCAACGGCATGCCCAACCTGTGGGTGACCGACGCAGAGAACCGGTACCGTTCCAGCGAGCACCACTTCTTCATCGGCGACACCGCCGACCCGGCTGCAGTGCGCATGTACAAGGACGCGACGGGCAGCAACGTCCTGATGGTGCGCGGGCGCATCGACATGCAGGGCGGTGTCAACTCGGTCACCACCACCAATCTGGACATCATGGACAAGCAGATCACGCTGGCCAAGGTGCCCGAGGGCGACGCCACTCCCGCCGATGGTGTGGCAAACACCCTCTCGGGCATCCTGGTGTCGGGTATCCCCCTGAACGCCAGCTTCAGCAATGCCCCCAACCCGGCCGACATTGAGGACATGACCCCGCGCTTCTACGAGAAGTCCATGCTGTGGCACAACGGCACGCAGGGCATGGACAAGCTTGGCTCTCAGGCCGGCGTCAGCTGGCTGCAGGGCATGGTGAACGAGAGCTACTGGCAGGTGCGCGGTGGCCACCTGCAGCTGGCCATGACCCAGCAGGTCGGTAACGCTGTGCGTGACATTGCCTTCGGCTTCCGCATCAATGAGCGCGGCGAGCTGGAGCTGTTCAAGTGCAGCTGGGACCCCACAGCTGCCAACGGCGGCCCTCACCCGCCGCATCGCGCGCTGGGGTAACGGCAATGGCATGCTGTGATCTGTGATCTGTGATCCGTAAGCATGCCATGTACTTGGCTACAAAAATGAGGCGACTCTGATGCGTTTCACCTGCACCAGGACGACCTACTACACCGGTGACTTGGTACCGGCTTCAAGCCGGCTGATTTTGTCCTGCTGCTGGACATCCACATTGTACTCCAGCTCATTCACAGTGTTGATATCCCGCACCAGCTTGCTGATGCGCTCCCTGAGCGTGCTGTACATGTCGTCAGACTTGCGCAGCGTGTACCCAGCACGGATGAGGGCCCAGATGGCGATGCCTAGCGCAAACAGCCCCACGACTGTGGCGGCTACTGCCACACCAACTCCGTATTGCTGCATGACGGCTGACTTGCGGCTGACTTGCGGCTGACCTGCGTCACGCGCTTAGGCTGGGAAGTAGGCAGAAAACAAAAGGCACTGCTCTGGCGTGCAGCGCTCAGGCTGCTGCACGCTGTTCCAGCGCGCTCAGGCGCCTGTCCAGCTGTGTGAGCAGGTCGGGGTCGAGGCGCGTGCCCTTGACCACCAGCGCCCCGTCGACCTCCAGCGTGCCGTCCACACGGCTCGTCGCGTCTGCACCCTGCACGTGCAGTGACCCGGAGAACTTGGCATCAGCATAGCCTGTCACCAGCGCGCGGGACCCCGGCGCCCCCAGCCGCACGTTCCCCAGGAGCTTGGTGTCGCGGTGGGAGACCAGCACGCGCGAGGCGTGCAGGTCCAGCGCTTCCAGGCCGGCTGGCAGGTTGCTGGAACCGCCTGCATGGTACACGCCCAGACGGGCCCCCCTGGGGGACGCGGCCAGCATGTACCGCCCATTCACGACCAGCGCTTTCTTGTCAACCACATCCTTGCTCACACCCTTCAGGCTCAGCCGCGTGTCCTCCGCAAGGGTCAGCATCTGTTGCGACCGCACCTGCAGATCACCCAGCAGCAGCTGCTCGCTGGTGACCGTGCCGGCGTGCACCGCATCGGACAGCTGCACCCTGTACGCATCCAGCTGATCGTCAACCTTGGATGCCAGCAGCTTGTGGTCCTCCAGCGGCACGTACAGCTGCTCTGCCCTATCCTGCGTGAGCATGAGGCCGCCCTGCGCCTCCAGCTCTGCCACGCGCCTGGTGTGGTGGGCGTCAAGCCTGTCCACCTTGGCATCCAGCACCGCAAGGTGTGCCTCATCTGCCTTTGTGTCCAGGGCGCTGTGCAAGCGCTGCTGTGCCGACTGCAGCTCTGCCTTGCGCGAGAATTCGGCTTCCACCTGACCAGAGATGCGTGACCCCAGTTTGCCCAGCTCTGTGCTGAGCTGATTGTTGTTGACGAGCGTGGCCTCGAGCTGGCGGCGCACCACAGGCCCCAGACTCGATACCTCGCCACGCAGCCTCTGCAGCTCGGCCGTTTGGTTCCTCTGGGCCTTCTCCAGCCGCCGCACACCCTCCAAAGATGTGGCCACGCGGTTGGCCTCCTTGTACAGGGCGGAGGTGGCTTTATTGACCTGCGTGACCAGGTCAGCGGTGCCATCTTGTTGGGAGAAGGCCTCGTCAGTGCGCACGCGACACGCGCACGCGGTACACGCTGCAAGGACCAGCAGCAGCAGCAGCAGCAGCAGCAGCAGCGCGACACAGGTCAGCACGGCAGCGGTAGGCTCCATTGCACAGCACAGCAGCCGGGGTTACACATTTGTGGTACTTTTTTTACGCAGAAGCAGCATCAGAGCGTTGGATGCTCGCGAGTATGCAGCAGAGCCCATGACCGCGCCCAGTGCCACCCCCGCTGCATGTTGTGTTGACGGCGGCTGCGCGCTCCGCCGACGGTGTTGCTGCTGCCCAGGTTGTCGCGTCACATGACTGTAGCACCGAACAAAACACGTGCGTACGGCAGACTCCTCCCCCCAGCGGGCGAAGCCGAGATGGTGAATGCCCGTGGAAAGCTCCATGTACGCACCCTCAAAATAAGTGCTCAGCTAAGCTGCTATCCTTCAAAATCACACGCTTGATAGCCGGATTCGTGAATACAATCAGCCAGATAAAAAACTGGTACTCAGACTCAACGGAAGGACAATTCAACATCAGCAAACAATCCTTATCCTGCAGACTGCGCAACCACTTCATGCGCGCTTCATCAGCACCCGATATGTGATCAACCGGAACTCTAGCGACCACAAAGCCCTTAACAGACTTAATCGCTGCTGGAATTGCCAAATCTAACAACGCGCCAGTGATTGACAACACTGCTGCATCTACAGATGTAAGCTGCTTATCTACGCCGTCGTAAAACTGAGGCGACAAGGGATCACTAAATTTTACCGGTTTCCCTTTTAAGCCGCGTGCGCCGGAAGACAACAAAGCGACACGCAAAGGATTTGAAACCTCGTAAGGCAAAATTACGTTATTAGTTGTTGCTCCATAGGTAAATGCCATTTTCTGTTACAAAGAATGAAAGAGAGAAATGGACTGAGAGGCCCGAAGAAGACGGGCCTAACGAACGGAGAAAGAGACACCGCAACTGAACTAACGCGAGGCTGCGCCAGAAACGGGCGGGCGGGCGGGCGCGCGCTGAACAACAAAAACAAGATAAGCTAACCAGCTTAATGCGCGCAATAAATGACGGCCCTGAGGACACGGGCCGTTGCGAAACAGTTAGTCTAACAGTTACGCATTGGGCCTTACGCCCAACTAACCCAGCTTACTTACGCAAGCTCGCATTAGTTGTTGCTCCATAGGTAAATGCCAAAGGAGAAGATACCCCCTCTAGCGGAAATAACAAACAAACTGAGCACCAAAACAGCGCAACGCGACGGGCCGCTAGAGGGACAAAGGACGCGAGAGCTGCCAGACAGGCACACACAGCGACACGAAATAAAGCTCCCCAAGCAAAACGCCTCAACGACCTCCAAACGATACTCCAGCAGCAAGGACGGCGGACACGCCATCTCTACACAGGCAAAAGAGCAAACAAACAGAACGCTGCCAAAACCACAAGGACGAGGTCAAACCAGCGCTCTCCAACCGCGCACAGACTGACCCACCGGCCACAAACGCGACGGATCCCTCAACAAACGCTGACGGACGCCCACTGAAGGAATGGACG